GGTAAATATCACACTACACCCAGGTCCCAGTGAGGGTTAACAGTGTTGAGTTTACAGTGTGGGGCACTGGGTGTATTGGGTTTGACTTAATAGTGCAGGGCACTGATAGATTTTGGTTAACACACTGAGAAAGGATTATCTTTTCCCGAGGAAAAATTTGGGTTAAATGATTCAGTGAAAGATGTTTTCCATAACATTAGACTGAAACATGAGAACTGGTTGAATCGCAAAATAATGAATCGTGGTTGTTTTTCAAAGTTGGTTGTTGAGCGAGAGAGAGGAGGCTGTGAGGGAGGAGGCTGTGAGGGAGGAGGCTGTGAGGGAGGAGGCTGTGAGGGAGGAGGCTGTGAGGGAGGAGGGAGGAGGGAGGAGGCTGTGAGGGAGGAGGGAGGGGGACATGTGAGAGCGGTCTGTGAGGGGTGGGGAAAGGGCTGTGAGTGAGGAGGGGTCTGTGAGGGAAGGGGCTTATGACAGCCAAAGGAGCGGGTTGTTTCAGAACACAGTTGGGATGGTATGAAGTGGAGCTGGATCATGGACATACAGACATATTCAGTCCCTTCAACATGTGGCACATTCACTACTGTTTTGTTACTGACTCCATACTTTAGGAAATCAAGTGCAGTGGAACACTTTGTTGTAGTTGACCTCCAGTCACTTCTCGGCATTCACTGCACGGCCGACCAAATGAGATTCTGAGATTGGAAGCTGCTACTCTGTGCTGTGTTATTGTACCTGTCCTCTGGGATAGCAATAGGAGCATGACACAGTGCAGCCCTGTTCACAGAGTTCCCCACACAGCCTCCCTGCCTGTGCCTCACTCTCTCTTCCTTCCAGGGCTGATCCCTCTCTCCTGCTCGATGTCCCTTCCTCCCCTTGCCAGCTCACCTTGATCTCCACTCTGCCACCTTCTCCTCCCTCCCCCACTGTGCCCACTTGTATGAGCCAGTGATGCGTGAGGCAAGGATGCAGAGGAGCTGAGAGCTGGTCATGTTCATTGCGAATAATAACACTTTGTGTGCTTTCTTTTTCAGCTTTAGCCAGCAGGGATGGCAGAAGCTCACCAGGCTGTGGCCTTTCAGTTCACTGTCACCCCTGATGGCATTGACTTACACCTGAGCCACGAGGCTCTGAAACAGGTCTATCTGTCTGGCCTGCGCTCCTGGAAGAAGAGGATCTGCCGATACAGGGTGAGCACCCGGGGCTGGAGAGAGTGGGGGTTCTTCCTGTTAACTAGTTCAGGGGGACCATCCGAGTCTGGGGTAGATTGAACCCCCAGCTTTCACACACAGCTTACTGATGCCACACGGTATTCCAGCTAGACAGAAACCTTCATCTCAATCGGCCTGACTCACACAGCAGCGGCTCTTTCTCTTCAAGACTAGGCTGTGAAACAATTCGCTTTGGATCCTGGATCACAGGCTGACTCAGCCAGGCAAACAGCTCAGATTATCAATGGGAACGGCAAATCACACTAGATCATTGGTTCATGATGGAGTGAACTATTTATGACAAACAGATAGCGGTTTTGTAAAAGAAGTTCTTTCCATTTGTTCATGGAATGTAGGTATCACTGTCTGGGCCAGCATTTATTGTCCGTCCGTAGTTGCCCTTGAGGAGGTGGTGGTGAGCTGCCACCTTGATCCACTGCAGTCCATGAGTTGCACGCTGACCCATCTGACCTTTGAGAAGGAGTTTGCCTCAGTGACAGTGAAGGAATGATGATATATTTCCGAGTCAGGATGGTGAGTGGCTTGGAGGAAAACTTGCAGGTGGTGATGTTTCTATGTATCTGCTGCCCTTATCCTTTTAGATGGAAGTGGTTGTGGATTTGCAAGGTGCTGTCTGAGGAGCCTTGGTGAATTTTTGCAGTGCATCTTGTAGACAGTAGAGATGGCGGTTACTGAGAGGATGTTAATATTGGATGGACAATCAATCGAGCAGCAGCTTTGTTAGCACTTTGTCATGTCACACCGTCGGAGGGCCCAGTGCTGAGGCAGTGCCGCACCGTCGGAGGGCCCAGTGCTGAGGCAGTGCCGTACTGTGTCTGAACGTAAGTTGTACCACATGGTGGATAGAAATCAATTGTGTTTCACTTATTGTAAGGAGTGAATACTTTCAGATATAACATTTGGTGTATTGTGCGCATTTCTGGTTGCCACACTCTAGGAAGGATGTAGAGTCTTTGAGAGGGTGCATCAAGGTTTACCAAGATGTTGTCTGGTAAAGCTATAAGGACAGGTTGGACAAACTTATATCATTTTCATAGAGTTGGACAGTCAGAGGCTAAGGGCCACCCTGATTGAAATATATACAATTAAGAGAGGCATGGAGAGGGTGGGTAGTCAGAATCTTTTTCCCAGGGTAAAAATACCAAATATGAGGGAAATAGGTTTAAGATGAGAGGGGAAAAGTTTAAAGGAGATGTGCGAGGAATGTTTTTTACATAGAGGGTGGTAGGTGCTGCCAGAGGAGGTGGTAGAAGCAGGTGTGATAGTAAAGTTTAAGAGGCATATAGACAGACACATGAACAGGCAGTAAGTAGGACCTTATGGACCGTGGACCATGGGATTAGTGTACAATAGCATCATGATTAACACAGACATCGGGGGCCAAAGGATCTATTCCTGTGCGATACTGTTGTACGTTCTGTTGCACCTTTCAGGACCAGAGATTGTCAAAAGTCGCTTTACAGCCAAAGGAATGCTGATGAAACTGCAGGCAAACTTGTCAAGCTGCACAGCCCTGTAATGGTGAGCAGCTCAGCTGCTTTTCTCTTCTCCATCGTGTGGTCACTGCTAGGCTGTGCTGGGGGTTGGGGGGTTGGGGGTGGGAGAATGGTTTGCCACAGCTGACACATGGTGTTAGGGCTCTGGACAGAAAAGAAAGTGTACGGTATGTGTGTGGGTGGGGTGGGGGGGGAGGCTAGGGGTGGGGTGGGGTGGGGTGGGGTGGAGTGGGATGTGGAATGGATTTGAACTCTGCTTTCCCCATGCTGAGTGCCATGTTGTGTGTCTGTCCCTGTAGAATGGTATCCTGACTGGAGTTTACCCAGCCAGCCCCTCCAGCTGGCTCTTCGTGGTGGTTGCAGTGATTGCGACAACGTATGCACGGATGGATCCCTCCCTGGGAATGATCGACAAGATCAGAGATCACCTTCCCACCAAGTAGGTGATTGAAACACATCAAACTCTCCAGCTGGTTGTCATGTGGATTGTGTTTGGCTGACATTCTAACGGTGTGTATCCCTGTCCCTTTCTCAGTGGTTACCTGTCGAATCAGACTGAAAGCGTTCTCAGTGCTTTGCTGTTTGGCACAGCTCTCTGGCTGGCCCTGGTTTTCACAATGCGGCAGACTCTCAAACTGCTGCTCTCCTATCACGGCTGGATGTTTATTGAACACGGAAAACCACCGCCCCATGTCAAACTCTGGATGGTAAGTAAAATCATTCTTGGGCTTCGGGATAATCAATGTTTCCCCCAACCCAAGGCAGACTGGGGTCTCTTCCTCTCCATCTCCCCATTGGTTTTGTCCAAACAGATTCCCGTTAGTCCTCCTCAGAGTCCGGGACAGATACAGACCTGCTTTGGGGCATCATGTTCTTTCAGAAAGCCATGATGTGGAGGTGAAGAAAGGTCAGAAATCACACAACACCAGGTTACACCAGGTTATAGTCGAACAAGTTTATTTGAAAACACAAGCTTTTGGGGTATTACTCCTTCCTCAGGTGTTAGTGGGAGAGGTAGTATCAGACACAAAATGTATAGGTAAAAGATCAAAGGGTCACACCACTGATGAGGATGTACTAAACAAACCCAAGATGCTGTTAAATCTTTAATCAGTTAGAAGGCTTTAATTAATTAATATATATATGTGAATCTCCGAATTCCTTTGAAGTCACTGCCCTGAGTGAACTAAACGTTTTATCAGTGTAGGTTTTACACTGATGTTCTTTCCTCGAGAATGCCACTGAGACCAGCCCCTGCCATCTGTGTGGCCCTTGGCATCCGGTGCTCCAGGCATCAAGACCTGTTCAGGGCAGGAGACCTCAAAAAGTCAACGGTTGAGGGTGATGAAGTTGCATATAGCTCCAAGAGAGCTGTTCAATTCAACATTGCAGCAAATGACACATGTTACCAGTGTACACAACTGTGTTGGTCATGCCTTGCACACTTTGATCTAGACATTGTTTGATCTGGGCACTGTTCCCAGCTTCTTCCTGCCTTTTCGTGCCCTGATTCCTCATTGCCTGTTATCTTCTCTTGTCCTCACAGTTGCTGGTGAAAATATTCTCTGGCCGCAAGCCCCTGATGAACAGTTTCCAGACGTCTCTGCCCCGATTGCCTGTGCCATCAGTGAAGGACACCATGAGGAGGGTATGTGATACCAGGAGTGTCAACCAAACCTTCACCCCAACATCAGCCTGTTCAGTATCACAGTTTTTATCACTTGCTACAAAGATGGTCACAATGAACCACAATGAGATTCACAGCTCCTGCGTCATGCAGTTACAACACATCGCCTGGCATGCATCTCCGTTTTCTACTGGTCTTTTAATTTGTAATCTGTAAATATTTCTCCTATTTACCTTTAATCAGAAAGTAACCAATGATGGAAAGTCAAACTATTAGCTGTTACCTACCAACCAATGAACTCATAGTTTTCCTGTGATTTCACTGTTTCTTTAGTGCTGCGTACCCCAATTCTGGGCTTCAATTTAGCCTGGAGAAAGACCTCATAAACTAGGAACCGAAAAACCTCATCCCATCCGCACCAAATTCCCACAGTGCCTCTACATTGCCTGAACTGTACACTCACTCAGACTGTATCTCACTCCAGATGATCTCTCCTTCCTGACCGTGTGAAACTGTGTGTGTGTGTGTGTATAGATTGAACAGGGTTCAGTATCACAGTGACCAGCTGGTGAAGGTGCCATGTAAGTGTGGAATTTGGAGGAGGAGCAGACTGGGGTCTCTCAGAAGGAATGGTCCCTGCAGAATACTGACAAGGGAGGGGAGGGCAGGGGAATGTGCGTCTGATGAAGGCATGCCACTGGAGGTGATGGAAATAATTGCATATGATCCGTAGGATGGGGATGCTGCTGGGATGGTTGTAGATGAGGACTTGGGGGATCCTATCGCTGTTGTGGAAGTGAAGGGAAGGGAAGGGGTGGGGGGGGGGGGGGGTGCAGAAGCGCAGGAAATAGGTTGGACACAGCTGTCAACCACAGTGGCTGTCCTTGCGCCATCTGGCCTACGTGTGACTCCAAACTCTCAGCAATGGGGTTGATCATTTAACTTTCATAAGGGTAATTAGGTTTGGGCAGTAAATGCTGGCCCAGCCAGTGATGTCCACATCCATGATCAAATAAAAAAAAAACTCCCCCGCCCAGTCTGCGATAGGCCCTGCCTGTCCATGAGCTCAGGGACAGTAGGGTGTCTGCTCACTCTGTGATAGAAGCAATGTAACCATGATCCCAGCAGAGATCATAGCGGGATTGCTAGTAATCCCAGCAGAGAATACAGAGGGATCAACGGTGATCCAACCGAGATCTCAGAGGGGTGGTCTTGATCACAGCAAGATCACCAGGGATCCTGGCCAAGATCACAGTGGAATCACCAGCGGTACCAGTAGAGATCACAGAGGGATCAACCCTCTGATCCCAGCACTGGTCATCAGGTAATCACCATCGGATTGTCGATGCTCCCAGCAGATTTCACAGGGATCACCAGCGATCATGGGGTGATTGCCAGTGACCCCCACAGAGATCACAGCAGAATTGCCAGTGATGATAGCAGAGATCCTCTATGGACCACAGTGATACCAGTAAGCTGTAAGGATGGGGATGTATTGTTGGGCAGTGATGTGGATAGAATTTGCTGAGATTGACTCACTGTTTGCTCTCTCCAGTACCTGGAGTCAGTGCAGCCACTTCTGGATGAGGAGAAATTCAAGCGGATGCAAGCACTCGCTCGGGACTTTGAGCTGAAAACAGCGCCAAGGCTGCAGTGGTATCTGAAGCTGAAATCATGGTGGGCCACCAACTATGTGAGTGAATGCAGCGAGTGTGAGGGTCAGACTCTCTAGTTATTGGTCAGCCTGTGCTCTGGTCCCCAAGCCCAGGCTTGGGGCTCTGGGTGACTGCACTTGGACAGCCACAGTCATTAACAGCTCTCCCACCACCTCCCCCCTCCCTGCCCCCCCCCCCCCCCCCCCATGAGCAGGCAGTAATCTCCTGCAGACCCACTGCCCACTTCTGGGTTCAACTCTGGCATTTCCCTTTGTGCCCCCTGCCCCCCCACCCAGTCAGCTGCTGTGACAGGGTGAGCATGAGCTGATACCTGTTCCTGAAGCAGCTCGAGCTGTGAATGGCCACAGTCCATTGGTATCTCACACTGTAGAGTCTAAGCTTCTATCAGCAGGGTACAGACCTTTTTAATACTCCCATTCTCCCCTTGCCTAACTCGCTCCAGCAGCTCCTGTCGCCACCTCATCTATCTTTCTTTGTTGTCTTCTGTCTCTCTCTGTCTCCCTCTTCCTCCCTCTCGCTCTCGCTCTCGGTCTCTACCCACGCCTCTCTTCCTCTCTCTCGCCCACTTTCTCATTCAGTGCAGTGTTTGGGTCTTATTTGGAGCTGGTACCTCCAGCCCAGACCTGAGCACTGGCATTTTGGATTCCTGTGCAACAGCCTTCCCCTCATCCTGTCAGCTGGGCTCAGGGTTCAGGGTGAGGTACCTGAGTCTGCTTGGTGTCTGTACAGCAGGACCCTCTGGGTCAGGAGTCAGGGTAAGGGGTTACGCACCATCGACTGTAGTAAAAGTGTGGGACAGGAACGTGTAACACTGTCCGCTTTGACCCTCTCGGACAGGTCAGTGATTGGTGGGAGGAGTATGTCTATCTTCGAGGACGTGGACCAATCATGGTGAACAGCAATTACTACGCAATGGTGAGTCCAGCTGTTACATGTATGTGTCAATGTGCATGTGAGTCTGTGTATATGTTTTTGTGTGTGTGGGTGTGAGTCTGTGTGTTTTTGAGTGAATGTGTGGGTGTATAACTGAGAGTCTGTGTAATGGTGTGTATGTAACGGTCTGAGAGTATGTGTAACGGCTAGTGCACGTGTATCACTCTGAGGTTGTGTGTGTGTGTGTGCGTGTGAGTGAGCGAGTACGTGTTAGTGTGTGCATGTGAGTGCGCATGAGAGAGTGTGTGTGTGTTACTGTGAGTGAGTGCGTGAGTGATAGTGTTTGTGTATAAGAGAGAACATTTTATGTGTGTGTGTGTGTGTGTATTAGTGCCTATGTTTCTATATGTGTGTGAATGAGAACATGTGTGCGTTAGTGTCATAGAGGTTACAGCATAGAAAAAGGCCCTTCAGCCCAACTTGTCCACACTGCTCTGTTTTCACAATTAATCTAGTCTCATTTGCATGCGTTTTGGCCCATAGTCCTCCATACCTATCTCATCCATGTATCTATCCAAATGTTTCTTCAATGACAAAATTGTACTCATAGAGTCATAGGGTTATACAGCACAGAGACAGGCCCTTCGACCCAACCTGGTTTATGCTGACCAAAATGTCCATCCACGCTAACCCCATTTCCCTGCATTTGGCCCATATCCTTCTAAACCTTTCCTTTCCATGTATTCATCCAAGTGCCTTGTAAATGTTGTTAATGTACCTGTCTCATCCATTTCTGCTGGCAGCTCATTCCATATGAGTACCACCCTCTGTGTAAAATAAGTTGCCCCTCAGGTTCCCATGTATTCTTTCCCCTCTTACCTTAAACTGATACCCTCTAGTCCTCGATTCCCCAACCCTGGGAAAAAGTGCATTCACCCTATCCATGCTTCTCATGATCTTATACACTTCTATAAGATTCCCCCTCAGTCTCCTACACGCTAAAGAAAAATGTCCTAGCTTGCCCAACCTCTCCCTATAACTCAGTCCCTTGAGTCCTGCCAACATCCTTGTAAATTTCTTCTGCACCCTTTCCAGTTTAATAATATCCTTTCTATAGCAAGTTGACCAAAACTGAACACAATACTCCAAGTGTGGCCTCGCCAACATCCGGTACAACAGTAACATAACTTCCTAACTTCTATACCCAATTCCCTGACTGATGAAGGCCAGTGTGCCAAAAGCCATCTTCACTGCCCTGTCTACCTGTGACTCCACTTTCAGAGAACCGTGCACCTGAACTCCAAGGTCCCTCTGTTCCACTTCACTCCTTAAGACCCTACCATTCACCATGAAACTCTTACCTTGATTTGACTTTCCAAAATGCAACACCTCACACTTATCTACATTAAACACTATTTGCCGTTTCTCGACCCACTTCCCCAGCTGATCAAGATCCTGCTGTAATTTCTGATAAACTTCCTCACTGTCTACGATAGCACCTATTTTAGTGTCATCCGCAAATTTACTAATTATGCCTCATACATCCTCATCCAAATCATTGATATGGATACCAAACAGCAATGGGCCTAGCACTGACCCCTGAGGCACACTGCCAGTCCAACAAGTATCCTTCAACTATTACCCTCTGCTTCCGACCATCAAGCCAATTGTGTATCCAATTTGGTGCAGGGCTGGATGAACACAGCAGGCCAAGCAGCATCATAGGAGCAGAGAGGCTGACGTTTCGGGCCTAGACCCTTCATCAGAAAAGCCTTAGGAGAGGTCCTTTGCAGGTCTGGGAGAGGGAGGCTCTGAGCTGGGGTAGGCTTGATTGTAGTGCCTGGAGATGCCGGCGCATTGCTGCAAGTGTGTGTTTCAGGAGTCGCAGGGAGAAACGCTTCTGCAGGATCTCAACCCCATGAGTGTAGATATTATCACGGTTGGGGCCAAATTGGGAAGGCTTGAATGTGGATTGTAGTCCATTGGGGATGATCTGGTTCCGTAGGCAGGTGCTAAGGAAGGTGATGTGGCTGTAGTACCTGGTTTGCTTCAGGACATGGTCGAGCAGTTTCAGGGCCGAAGAGATTACGAGAGAGTTGCAGTGGGAGAGAGATCCCTTGAGGTTTGTCCGGAGGGAGGAGGGTAACTTCTTCAGGTTAGGCATCCTTAGAAGAGGTTTCGCAGTGGGGTTAAAATCGAATCAGAGATAGTGGGAACTGC